CTTACCTTAATGCTAAGATGAGTGAATCCTTGTGCTGGGATGCAATATTGAGTCGTGCCTACCTTAATGCTAAGATGAGTGAATCCTTGTGCTGGCTTCAAGTAGCTGGGCTTGGTGTACATGTCGGTAGAAAGAAGCTCACAAATGTGAAGGCTGTCATTCTCAGGTTGGATCTTAAAGTTGACTGATCCACACCAAGGCCTGCTTCTTGTACAAGCGAAGACACAAGCCATTTTATCGGTAACTTTGGTCGTCGTTTTTAGGGCATTCACCAAACCCGATGGTATGGAGAGAATATGATCGGGTTTGTTATAGAACAAGAACTCTCTATTGTGGTTGTTGGCTGATGCACTGATGTAGTGTATGGTACAGGCGAGGACTAACGCCAGGCAAGGTATAACCCATCTCGTAATTCCAGATTTGATCGACAAGCGAAGGCCGAACATCTTATTTCTCCTGCCGGTTAAGTGGTCTTCCAAGGCTGATTTATTTATCGAAGGTTTTGAGCTCTGAAGCAGGTGATCATTATCTCAAGGGCTTATGCACGATAATTAATTATTTTATTTAATATTTTTTTAATTAATATTTCTTAATTCCCTACCAGCCAACATCCGTGATACCTCAGCTTTGCTGCTTTTAAACAGGCACTTAAGTCCTTTTTTCGTAACTAACCATAGTTTTATATATATATATATATATATCATAGTCATATTTTCATGTATGTAAACGCAATGTGACGTATGTTTTATTCAGAGCCCCGTTTAAACCAGCTATGCTGAACAGGACATCTCTGCTTAAATATTGTCCATAAATAAATAAATAATGTAGTTAATACAGTTATTATTTATTTATGTTTACTGTACATTACAAAAAGGGGCCTTAAAACTCGTTAACGCTTCTCATTGAACTCTAAAGCAGGTGGTTATTATGGACGGCGACGTCAACCGGAAGTGTAAATAATTTCTCTTTGGGGTTCTGTTCATTGGAGATTTCATTCAAAATATTGTCAGTAAAGTCAACTCATCCATAGGGAAGACAGACTTTGAAAGCGCGAAACCCCAGAGTGAAGTCGTGTACACTTCCGGTAGACGTCGCAGTCGCATATTTTGCAAATCTTAAAGCCCCTATTAGCTAATTGGCGCCGATTTTTCCATAATAATATAGAAGACTTACTTAAACCACATGGTTAGACTAATGATCATAACATTTTATTAATATCACTTGTTAACTCCGATCACGTAAACATGTTGCAAGGATTTCGTTCAACCAATTAGGGTTTTCTCTTGATTATATTCTCCATTTCTATTATTTTTGAATTTATAGTTTACTTTTTTGTGCGTGTTGAAAAAAAAAACCTTTGAACTACATGATTACTGTAACATTAACTGAATATGGGGCCTTATATTAAAAATCGTCAAGGCGCGCGCTGTTTTAACTTATTAAATCGCATATCAAAGGAAAAAAATAAATTTCAAAAGTATTCATATGTGAACAGTGTAGTAGTGTGGTTGCAGTATTCATGTGTGGTTTTCTCTTTTCAGAGGTTAAAAAATTTGAAACATCAATATGTAAATGAGATAACGTAAATTCAAGAATTTGTTAGACTTTGCTGTGTAATTTACGACAAGTGTTCTGAAGTGAAATAACCTAAAAGTGTACAAAACCAAATATTTCTGTTACAAGGATGATTTGCAAATAAATGACAAAACATCAGTACTTTCCACAGCAGCATTTTTGTATTATAGAAATTAGTCTTGAATTTACGTCATCTCATTTGCATATTGATATTTCAAATGTTTATATCTCTGAAAATAAAAGTTTTACATACAAAAATACTGCAACCATACACTGTTTATTTAGCATTTAGCATTTACCTCACATCAAATCATAGTTTTAAAAAAACGAAAAATATAAACAAATTACAAGCAGATGAGAGGAAAGGGATACCATCACAGGTTTCCCCAATTACGACGGTCCCTTGAATAAAATGACATTAAATTATTGAACATTAACTTAATTACAGGAGGAAAAAATTTTTGCTAATGAGCTTCATTTGATGCAGACAGTCTACTGCAGTCATCAATGTTGTAGGTTGCTCGTAGAGCCGTATACAAACACAGCGTTCTAGTACTTTGCCAAGTATGGACAGGAGAGAAATTGGACGGTAGTTTTCAGCAAGTTCCTTTGAATCTTTTTTTGTGACATCAGCCAGTTTCCATTCTGAAGGGAGTTTTCCCAAGAGTAAAGAAAGATTGAACATATTGCAGTTGCTAGGTACAAATTGGTGAATCATCACCAGCGACTGATGAAAGGCTTTCAGGCTCCTTGCGTTCAGATATTCACATATAAGTGATTTTGAATTTTTTTTCCTGGATATACACTTTAATGGTTCTGAACTTTGAAGCAGGTGGTTAATTAGCTTAATTGCCAGGGCTTTAGCATAATAATACACAAGTATTAATGAAGTTCTTTAATTTTATGATTTTAAAAACATGTTTTACACTTATTTACTTATTTCCTAGTGATGGACAACTCGAAAAAAATGAAAAGGATCATAACCCATAATTTTTGATAAACTTTTGATATACTTGTATATATGTACGGATCCATCCAAAATTTTAGGGCGGGGGTGGGGGGGGGGGCTAATTAAGTTTAGGGGGGCTAATTGAGTTTCTTCCGTCAACACAACTAAAAACAAAAAAAAGCATATAATTTTTCAGTTTTGCTTTCTTTTTTTTACTGTTGAAGGGGGGCTTCAGCCCCCCTTTGCCCCCCCGATCCGCCCTTGCATATGATTATAATTTGAAATCTATTAGTAATGGAGGAAATCTTGTTTTACATATAAGCCCCATGGCTTTTATATCAGACATCCTCGCCATTATAGCTTTATAAATATCCCTTCATTATATATTTGAAATGTATATAAATACAATGGCCAATAAACTGTTATTTAAGCAATGGTCAATGCTTAGCGGATAGTTGGGAGAGCACGATGGTAGCGTAAGAGTTGCACGAACGCGCGTTATATCTTAGTTACAGTATGTTATAAATCGTTATGGTAATTCCTCGTAGTAAATTTAGCTTTTGAGAAGCCAATTGATTTGGATGTGTTTTTTGCTTCTTTTTTTCAAAAAGTCAAAATTAGAGTTGCATAAGTACCACCATGGATCATTCATGGTACCACACGTCCTACTTCTAACACAGGATTCCCTCACAAACCTTTTTGATAATTCCAAGAAAGCATATAGTGGGCACCCTGTGGAGAAACCGCTGTCAATAGTTATTATGATGATTGCTCACTGGAATCAAGCTTTCAAGATCGAAAAAGTACATTTTTTCTTCATAAAAATGGGTTCAGGTAGGTAAAAGAGTCCAAGTATTACATAATCTTTCCATGAACTAATTTTTCTTGCCAAATTGAAGTACGTAGGGCTATTTTAATTGATTTTAAGCAAAGGCATGCATGGATGAGAATCATTCAATCCTCTCGCTAACAGCAGAAAGTTTCCTTAATCTTTTTGCAAGGATTTGAGTATAAAATGCCTGGATATTCATGATATCAGTGTGTCGAAGAGAAATTAACAGGGCTTCCTTTCAAGCTTTTAAACAAAGTTTTTGAATTGGGTATTAGGGATTTTTGATCAGTAACAGAAAGCTTAACTTTATTTAGTAAATTTATATTAGTTTTTTGTTTTCTGATTTATAAGCCAATTACCCGAAGCTCAAAGAGAATGTCTATAAAGACTTTTAGGACAGCGTGAAAACTGTATTCATTATCATGAAGTGAAAATAATATACAGAAATCTATCTAGACTTTTTTTTCTCCCAGCAAGTCGAAACACCATGCATGATCAAGAATCCAAAGATTTTGATTTGAATGACTCCCTCATTAGTCATGCAACTCTATATATAACTCTATATAAAAATATACCGTGACAGCTGTACGGTCTATAATTTTTCCAATAGTTGCCCCCTTGGCATAATGTCTTAATTGAAACAATAGAATTCAAGATTGCATGTGACGTCAAAGCAGCTCGATCTGGAGGACAAAACAAAAGAATTCCAATCTCCTGAGAATTGGAACCTATTGATTTGTTCCCCAGATTGAGCTGCATTCAAAAGGGATGCAAGGGGACTATTCTATCAATAAATATATTTTTTCTCTGGGTCCAGTTGTGCGAAGGGTGGATAGTGCTATCTGATGAATGAATTCTTATCCAGTGGATAAGTTGATGCTGTTATCCAATAAATTTATCCACTGGGTAAGATTTATTCATCGGATAGCACTATCCACCCTTTGTACAACTAGGCCCTGATGTATACCTGTATACAATGTATACCTGTATGCACTAATTAACATATTAGCCTGTAATTCTATCATTCCTGAGAAAGGCATACTGAAACATCCAGGAATTGAAGTATAATTACCCATGAGTGACAACTCCTTATATTTTCCATTATTCTTTTCTAGATGAAGCTTTGTCATACATAGATGTATCTTCTCCATATGGTAAGAAAAATCAGTTCTTAAAGACTACTCATGAAAAAAGCAAAACTTGATACACAGCTCAACCCTCCCTCAAATATATACATATAGCAAGAAATGATTTGGTGGATAAGTATCTGGTTCTTATTCATGATAATATGATCATCATCATTACATGCTTTTTACAGATGACTTCCACTGCATATAATGATTTAGCCTACTTGGTGGATAATTTTCGGTTTAATGTTTGTATCATCATCATTCTCATCATCTTAAGCCTGGTTTTCACTGCGGTGCAATTTAAGATACCTTATTTCAGTGAAAACAAGTCATGAAATAAGCACCAACGCAACTAGTGCCATGCCCCTTCTGTACTGTGGTGATTGTTAAGATTGGTCACATGACATGTAATAATCATCCGCCACTGTTGCTCTTGCACTGTGTTTCATTTTCACTGGCGCAGCATAAGTGCAAGGACAAGCGCAAGCATAACAAAAAAGAAAATTTTTGATCCTTGTGCTTGTGCTTATGCTTGTGCTTATGCTTGCATTAGAAAGTTTTCAAGGTAAAATAAGGCTGTTTTATTTTAAATTTTTGATCCTTGTGCTTGTGCTTGTGCTTGCACTTATGCTTTGCCATAGTGAAAACCAGGCTTTAATGATCATTGCATGTGATCATCATGCAACATGAACATTTTTATTCATGTTAAAGATGATTTTAGAAAGCTACGACCTGAATATCTTGACAAATTTATTGCTGAACAACTTCAACCCAATGAAGAATTTCATAATTTAGCTTCCACTGCTTTGGAAAACCTTTATCATTACCTTCAAAAAAGTATGCAACCGCAAACTGTGAAGAGGCTTATAAAGGTAGGCAAAAAATATCATTCAATCCTTGTGCACCAAACTTTGTAAAAGACCCTGTTTTATAAACATTAGACCTTAATATTATGATATTTCTTCCATTATTACAATAGGTTTGTCATTTTGCTTTGTTGGATACACAAATAGATTTCCCATGGACAATTTATATAAAACAATCGACCCAAAACAGTGTCACCCACTTCAGGGGCCAATCCAGGGGGTTCTGCATTCAAGTAGCACTCCCCTGCAAAATATGCCGAACCCCCCACAACCTTCCCCTGAATGATCCTTTTACCTTCCATTTTTCCCAATGAAAAAAGCAATAAATGACATTTCTTGCTTTCAAAAATGGATGCTGTCACATGTTCAAACAAATCATGTTTTTTTACCTACACAGGGAGGATCGATGGGTAAAGGAACTGCATTAAAAAGCAGGTCAGATTTAGACTGCATTAAAAAGCAGGTCAGATTTAGACTGCATCCTTGTCATGAATGGTGTCAGAGATGCTCGTGATTTAAAGGAGAAAATTGGTGGAATTTTAGCTCAGCTCTGTGATTTTCTTAACAAAAATCCGTTAAAAAAACGTGGTTGGGGAATCAGGATCATTAGGGACAACAGATTCATGGTGCAGATTGAGATGCGACATTTAAACCGGAATAAAGCTGTAGAAGTTGACATTTTGCCAACATTTGATGCAGCCGTGAACAACGGTAAGTTTATAGTAATGTATTTTCCCTGGGGGCTCTCAACTACAAAGCCTCAGGTATAGTAAAGATATGGGGAGGATCAGCCCGAGGCGGAAGGAGCGAGCGCTCCGCAAATTATAGTTGTCGTCATCGCTGCGGGGAGGTGGGTGGGGCTTCGAGAGTTAAGGAGTAAATTGCTGTGATGGAGACTGAGAGAGATTTATAGTCAGATTTCTGAATTCATAACTAAACTCTAATTGCGATGATGCAATCCAATCCCAAGAGGTAGAAATTTCATGCGAGAATGGGAGTTATGTGAAGATTCGGCTTTTTCGCAGAGACGTCCCCAGAGAAAATAGAGCCTACGGGGTCTTGATAATCATTACCGTCTCATGCGAAAAGCGAATTCAATGCAATAATTGTTTTATTATACATTTTGTAAACTAAGAATAAATATTTAATTCTGCTTTCGAAAAATTAGCAAACGTATTTCAATCTTCATTGTGACCCTTGGAGTAAACTTGACATGATAAATGTATTATCTGCAGTAAAACCAACAGATGATAGATTTTTTGAATCATATTTAGTTAATTACATGAAATCAGGGATTGGCTGGAGCTTCTCTCCCAATCAGTAGCAATATAGTAAGTAAAATGTGTTTATCGACAGAAATACTTGTTTTATTGTCACTAATGTTAATCCGCGTTAAAGAGTTCATTTATATCTCTGCCATCTCATGGTATGCATCTGTATCAAACGGCTAAGAGTTGTGCTTATTTTGCGCTGACAGGAAATTCTCTCCGCAAGCTTTATCGTTCCATGGCATTATACGACTATGACACACAACAATTCTGCTCTGCAGCACTAGCAACGTTACAGCGTGATTTTATAAAGACTAAGCCAACTAAACTCAAAAGTCTTATCCGTCTGGTGAAGCACTGGTGCAAGATGTATCTACCATGGGAATATGGACAGCCGCGGGTGCCTAATTCATACCTGTTAGAACTTCTGACGATCAGTGTTTGGGAGAATGCAGGAAGCCAACATTCGTTTCCTACAGCCCTATTGTTCAAAGATGTAATGGAAGCATTGTATAATCACAGGCAGCTAAATGTCAAGTGGAATACGTACTACTCGCTATCTGGGAATCTATCTGGAGGAAAGTAAGACAACAATGTTATGTCCCAACCAAGCCAATTTTTTCATCACAAGAATACGTGTCTCCCCAATGGAGGGTCGTACAGGACCTAAGAAGAATAAAAGGAAAGTAGTAATGGGATAAAGGACCATTTTCTTTTTTTCGCTTCCAATTCCTTACCCTTTCCCTCAATTGTTAACCCTTTTCTTGCGATGAAAAACTTGGCATACAGGCTATTATTATTATTCGTCTTGGTGCAATGTTTTTTCTATTACAGTCGACAACTTGTGATTCCCTAATGAATAGGATTGATTTCTTTCTCTGATTCGTATACATATCCATGTGTGTTCTATATCGCAGGCAATTTTGCTAACGTATGATCGTTTTCTGCCCACTTCTGCAACATTTCGTGCAATAACTTGCGTCGTGTGACATGGCTCCCAAAATCGATTGCAAGCAACATAGACTATATCGGTACTCATTCACAGCAATGTATTATTCTTTATTTTATTTTATTTAATCAAATTTAAAATACATTACATTCAGATTCAGTCTAATCTAATGTATCTGAGCTAGACCAAACAGAATTCAAGATTCCTTTATATAGGCTCTCTTATGGGACTGAATAACACGATTAACACTGAATAAAATGGCAAAATACTCCATGGTTTGTGGTTCTTATGCTCGGTGTTTTTTACTGTGCGGGCACACCAATTGGGCCCCACTTGAACAAAATTTAAGATAAAAAAGATAAAAAAGACTTTAGCCAATCTAGGAGAGAACAAAATCAGTATCATATTAACCTGAGCCAATCACAGTTACTCATTCCAAAGGTTGTTGATAACATGGGTCTAAGTTATTTCTCAAATATCTAAGATTCGTTGCTTGCTCCTGATTGGTTCAAGTTTGACTTAAGTTTGATTCCTTTGTTTTCAATCTATGCCGTGATTGGTTGACTTTCTTCATTTGGTCCCATATATAGTGTGTCTGCACAGTTAATGAGTTAACAGTCCCAGAATGCATTGCTGTGACAGACTAGCGATATAGTACGCAAGAGTGTTATATGCGCGCAAGTCTCACCGCGTGTCTGTAGCTTTAGGCCCCGTCCACACGTATCCGAAAATTTTTGTATCCGCAAATTTTTTTTTGAAAATGTTCGCGTCCACACGCAGCGTACTCGAATCGCTACGAATCGTTTTCACTGTTCACACGTATCCGCAAATTTCTTGATGTCCCAGATGCACGCTAGTGCCTAGTCCTTTGACGGATAGTTTTTCATATTGAGCATGCGCAAAATCGTGTTTATGTCAGCGTATTCGAAAATTTGCGGATACGACCGTCCACACGTGTCTGTATTCGGAGCGTATTCGAAAATTTCCACTCTAGAGACCGTTTTCGAAAATTTCCGGATACGGATACAAAAATTTCCGGATACGTGTGGACGGGGCCTTATGCGCAACCATTCTACAAAGAAATGATGCTCTTGGGAATGACGTGCATGGTCTGTATTTATGGTAAAACATTGCACCAATAAACCAGATCGTAGTTTAAGAATCGTTTTCAGCGCGCATGCGATTTTATTCCGAATTTCTCACTTTTTGTTTAAACCTTCTTTTGTTCTTAATTAAACAAAAGAAGGTAAGAAATTCGGGATAGAATCGCATGCGCACTGAAAACTCCACTTCAATTCTAGATATTAAGTTAGAGAAAAGCATGATTAACATTACACTCGGATTAAGGAATTCCAAAAGGTTTAGTTTAGATTACTCAATATATTGGAGGGAAGTAGTGCTAGCATTCTGTTAAAAATTTTTTTTTAAATTAAGGAATATATAACACGCTAGCCTACTTTGCAGACTCGATTTTTTTACGCTCGTTATCTCGCCAAAAAATATAACTTTATGTTTTAGCGAGATCACCGAGCGTAAAAGTATCATGTCTCTGTACTGTGATATAAACACGTTGGGAGCTTTAGAGCACGAGAGAAGCAAGCTCATAAGACGTAACTGATTGTTTCTCTTGCTTTTCGAGTGATTTACAGTTTTCATAGTGATGATAGTGTCACATTACAGAGATATAAGCAGCCGCTTTATATTGCTTTTGTGAAATTTTTTTTGAATAACTTTGCGTTATATTTTAAATATTTTATGATTAACAAGATAAAATGAAAAGCAAAAACGATTCCTATTGCTTTCCTTTCAGGCCCTGTATAATGGATCCTGCTAACCCATACAACAACGTGTATGACGTTGTAGGAGACTGGAAAAGAGTGAAAAGAGTAGCCAGAGAAACGTTAAAGAAGCCGCTGCTACGGGATTACAGTAGATCTGTTTTGGATACTGACAATAGCAGATCGCCAAATTGCTGTATTTTATTTATTTTGTTGTTGCTTATTTGTTTATTTTTATTTTATTCCATTCTTTAGAGAGTACAGAATTTTGAAATTTTTGAAACTTACTGTGAACTTTTTTGCCATGACTTGAGCAGCTCAAGATGTCTGTAACTATGAAATGCACTCCATTGCAAATCAATGTCGGGTTTAAGATCCATCAATGAGGCTGAGTAAAGAAGTTTGTCGATCAAAAGTATTTAATTCGCTGCTGTAGATCATCATTTTTTTTACTTTCAACACCAATTGTAATCACGCTTTGTGTTCGTTGTGTGTGAGAGAATTGACTAGGTTTTTTAGCCAATCAAAGCTCAAGTTTTTACCATGTTATGTTATAGTATATTCTTCAATGGTATAAGGATACTGATGGAACCGAGGCATGACTGTGGACTAAATAACAAAATGAGCTTTCCATGACATATGCAGCTCAAGACGTTTGTATATGGTGTCTATATCAAGGTCGAGGATCCACAACTCAATGAAGACTTGCGTGACTTGCTGTGTTCGAACTTCAAAGCGAACTTAGCTCACCATGACTATCATGAAACTCAAGGATTAAATGCCAAACAAAATACAAACTAAATTAATGCACTCTACTAATCAGAAACGTTTCATGAAAACGTTGGTTGTCAAAGTATGTTTGCTTACATTCTTTTAATAGCTAAATCATAATAATCAATGAGTAACTCACCTTTACGAATAACTGTCCCTTGCTTTAATTTTATAAGGGTTTAGCTATTTTTGCAAAGTATATGCAGCTGAAGAAATGCTTTGCAGGCGTCATTTGGGACGGTCCTAAAAAGGGATTTTCAGGACGGCCACTAATAGTCCAGTCAATCTATGAGATTTTATAGGGGAAGATCAAACTAATTGCAACAAAATGTTTTTCACTGTTCTAGTGTTAAGAGTAGCTATATAAACAACATACTGAAAATTCCATAAAATTCGCTTGGTGGAACATGGTAAAAATTAGGTTTGAAAATTTATTGGTTTTACCACAGGGTACCCACGCCATGCAAAAGCGATAATCAACTGTATATATGCTATTTTAGGTTTTTGGCATACCTAGTTGGCTTTGTTTAAGTGACGTCATCACAAGAAAACAAGAAAACGTGGTGTTTGTCGCAAATATTTGTTATTTTAGAGGCTAAAAGGTGTTTTGTGTACCACAGGTATCCCAAAAACAGCAAAATCCTGTTTTTTTAAATAGTTTTTGTAGGCTTCAGGGTCTTTTTTCATTTGAAAAAGTTAGAAAATAGTGTTTTATGCTTGGAAATGTAAAAAAAGCGAATTTTACTGGACCTCTCGGCCAAGCAAGAAATGCCTGATATGAAACATAGCGACTGGAGTAGTGGTCGAAGAGAATGTCAACTGTGACAAAGCTAAAGAGGCAGGAGAGAAGATCATCCAGGTTATGCGTGGAAAGAAAGTTGACAAGTTTTCTTTCCAGAAGAAGCATCAAGCACTAACTCTTGCCTCCACAACAGCTGTCCCACTCAGCAAGGGATATGTACCAATAGACCCGCAACTTCTCTTCCAGAGGTTAAACATTCTGGCCACCAGTGGCCAATACCAGGATYCTAAGASCCTGTTCAAGTACTAGATGTCAAGCTATCCCAGCGCCTTGTTTGACAGCTCTCTTCTTCCAAGGTAAGCCAATAACTCTGTGTTAGTTGATGCCATATGGGCTCAAACGRAAAGCAAACAGACGCTATGCCCTGTAGGAGATCTGCACTATATTGTGGATGCAGGCGCACTTATTCATCGCGTCATATGGCCGCATGGGGTGACGAATGATGCTGTTTGTGCAATGTGGGTTCATTACATACAAGGGCGGTAAGGAAATGCCACGATTGTTTTCGATGGCTATCAAGGTCCATCAACCAAGGGGTGTGCACACCAACAGCGAGCTCCTACCAGTGCGCCACCCGTGGTAATCGACTCTGGTATGCTCATTTCCCTGAGGACGAACAAGAAAACAGGCACAGATTTATTATTATCCTCGCATAGAAGCTGAGGTTTGCCAATTGCACTGTTCTTCAAGCTCCTGGTGACGCTGAGCTCCTCATTGTCCAGACCGCCGTACAAGTAGCACGGACTCATACCACTGTTCTTGTTTGTAACGATACTGACCTGCTTGTGCTACTGATTTACCATGGACAGATGAATGTGAGTGATCTTTTCTTTATCCCCGAGCCTAAGCAAAGATCAAAGAAACGCAGGGTGTGGAACATCAAGAATACAAAGTCTACATTGGGACTATTCGTATGCACACGTATGTATTTGCGCATGCGCTTCTTTGTTGTGTTACCACCTCTCTAATCCCATGACTCTTTGCTATACTCCCGTTATTGTCTGAAGGTTGCTACTGGCAATATTTGTGTCCAGCCAGAAAGCCTTCCACCAACTTATGCTGCTGCGTGCTTTCACAGCCTAAGTGTATATCATCAGGTGCAGCATTGGAAAGGAACTAATCTACCTCCACAAGAATGGGGATGGGAGATGATCATGAAGGGTGGAAACGCACCAACCTGCCTGCTGCCCATGCATTGTCACTGCTGGAAATCATACGCTACAGTACGCTGATGTTTGTGCCTAAAAATTGGCTTGGACTGCTTGGCTGCTTGTGGAGCATGCAAAGGTGTCAGCTGCGTCAACTCACCACAGCCAGAACTTACAGACAGTGAGGAGGATGGTAATAGAGTGTAGCGGGAAGGCAACCAGCCAGATAGTAATCCCCATTACAAGTATTGTACCTTGTACAGCATTCTTTTTTGTGTAGTTGGGAAAACTACAGACAGACAAGGAACAGGTCAAAGAGGTTATGATCATTTACCATCGTGATGTAAAACGATGATTGCTATCACTATGGCATTTATTCAATAAAGTAGGAAGTGTTAGTAAAATGTTGCCATAGGCCTTTCTGGAGCTTACCCTTCCATTCAAAGTCTTAAGAGTGCAAAACTTTGAAAACAAATACTCTCAAATTCAGTCAAACACTTTTTGTTCCACTTTGCATATAGAAGGAAAGAAAAATAAA